ATTGAATACCCAGTCCTAACCGAAGAGGACCAAATATCAGCTTCATACTTAGCTTTCAAAATATGGTTCAAAACCGAATTTGGGTTGCTAAAAAATCTCCAAGCAAATTTAGTCCGAAGAGGACCAACTTTTGATACCGCCGAGAAGAGACCTCTACCACCTTCACATTTCGGTTTACAAAGCAATTCCCAAGATACGTAGTGAATTCTAACATTTCCATCCGCTTTACTCCAAAGAAAACTTCTACACATCTTATCAAAATCCTTCAAGATTCTTAAAGGAACAAGAGTAAGAGAAGACATGAATAGAGGTAAAGACAAAAAAGCAGACTTTACCAAGACAATTCTACCTTCAAGAGAGATGTTTTTTGAGCCCCAAGTATTTAATCTTCCAGCCGCTGCCTCTAAAAGATTCTGGGAATCCGCTGTTTTCAACCTCCTCAAAGCCATTTTAATACCCGGATAATTGAACTCCTTAACCTTTTTAAACTTAAGAATCTTCATCATTTTCTTCTGAACCCTTTTCCTTGTATTATTTCCAAACAAGATCATGGATTTTGATTGATTAACCATCTGGCCCGTCCAATCATAATAATTGTTTATAATTCTCCTCAACTCCTTAACCTCCTTCACCTTAGCCTCCGAGAAAATAAGAATATCATCCGCAAACAAAAAATGAGAAACTTTAGGAGCTAATCGAGAAATAGATATACCTCTATTTACCCTTAAGCAAAGAGCATCAGACAAAATCTGAAAGCACAGAATGAAGAGAAAGTGAGATAAAGGGCATCCTTGCCTAAATCCACACTTCCCTTCAATCCAATCCGTCTTCTTTCCATTAATCAAAATACAAAACTTCGGATTGAGCACACAACTTAATAAGAGTTCCCTAAACTTAGGGGGAAAATTAAAATGAATAAGTACTTGCCTCAAAGCATCCCATCCCATGCTATCGTAAGCCTGCTCCATATTCAGCTTGATTGCTAGAAAACCACCTTTAGCTTTGGACCATCTGAATTTATTGAAAATCTCTTGAGCCACCAACACATGATCAGATAAGGATCGGACTTTAATGTATGCTGCTTGATCTACCGAAATGAGTTTATGAATAACCTTCTCCAACCAGTTAAGAAGCATTTTTGCAAT